TTCCTGCATGCAGCAGAACGCAGCCCTTTCCTGTTTCCCTGACCTTGCTTCCACTTTTTTGACATTATTTCCTGTTTGTTCTAGACTTTCACGGCCTGGTGCAACTCTCATCTGCGAAAGGCAGGAACGCAGATCGAAAACATTGAAGAGGATTTCAGAGATGGACTCAAACTCATGCTGCTCTTAGAGGTCATCTCAGGTCAGTGAGCTTTCAACTTCAATCATTCATTCATTCACCCTGGAGTTTCTAGTTCATTTGCAGCTTCCCAAAGCTGTGCGAAACACTGCAGAGACGCTAAGCTAATGTTTAGAATGTAGTGGGGTTCGTGTTTGTGCTGATGTGATGGAAATACTGTGGAAAGCATGTGAGAAGTCATCATATTTTCGTGCAGGGGAGAGGTTACCAAAACCTGAAAGAGGAAAGATGAGAGTTCACAAGATCAACAACGTCAACAAAGCGCTGGACTTCATCGCCAGCAAAGGAGTCAAACTGGTGTCCATCGGTGCAGAAGGTACAAACACTTTCCTGTGTATCAGACTGTATGTTCACTGCTGATTTATATATATATATATATATGTATAATAGCCAGGATTATTATCGTTAACTAAAACAAAACAATCATTAATTTCCTAAAATAAAAGTTAACTAAAATAAAATATTAAAAATAAAACAGGTTTTGTGCTAAATTAAAACGAAAACTGAAAATATACAAAAAAAACTCAAATTCATAACATTAACAAAAACTATAGTAGTATATCAGTGATACTAAAATAACACTAATGCGTGCTAATAAATATGATATAGTTTATAGTTTAGTTTATATATGTAGTTATTGTAATTTATAATTTTTTTTAGAGCAAGTTTTTCACTTTCAACATCTAATAGTGTTGTGTGCCTGCCTTTATAGAAATCGTGGATGGAAATGCCAAGATGACTCTGGGAATGATTTGGACCATCATCCTCCGCTTCGCCATCCAGGACATCTCAGTGGAGGGTATAATTTAACCTCCATATTGTTTTAGAAATTTTAGGAACTGCTCTGTATAATCGAGCATACTTTAGAGAACAACCCCAAACAAACTTAATGAATGTTCAGTAATGGCCTGTTTCTGCTGTTTGTCTCTCTTTAGAAACCTCCGCTAAAGAAGGATTGTTGCTCTGGTGTCAGAGAAAGACGGCTCCTTACAAGAACGTCAACGTTCAGAACTTCCATATCAGGTTTGAAATGCATACTAGATTTGATCTTTGATCTACGACCTTTATTTGACTGTGTGTTTTCTGTGGTTTTAATTTTGTTGATTCACCCAAAGGTGGGTTTTGCATAGAGCGGTGTTATGGATGTATTTGAATAAACAAATGATCAATGATAGCTAAAGATGATGGGTAAAAAAA